ACATTTATTTGAATTGTTCTCAAGTATCATCTGTGCACATCTGTCTCATTTCCATCAACTTCTCTTGCCTGATTGCCCCTTTCTCTCCATCACCTCAAATATATACAGTATATTTTTGTACATATGTATTTGACTTCCTCTTTTATGCATCTTTGGCGTTTGGACTGAGCTGTTAAACAGTTTTTGATCACTGTTGTCTGACCCTTTATTTCACGATATTTCACACTGAACTGCAGGCAGGCCAATCGATCACACATTCCTAAGGTCTGTGTGGTTACAATTTGATATTTTTAATTTAAAAATTGCTCTGGCATTGTCCACATCCAATGACTTTCAGATATTTCTCTGAAATCCAATATAGGTTTCTGCAACAGTGGTAGGCAGGTACATCATGTAAAGCCAATAACTAGAACTCCATACCATCACTGATCTAGAGACTTGTGATTGCAACAGACTTTTAGGAAAGTATGGTTTATTATTTTATCAATCACTACTGTATAAACAACTACTCTAAAATAATGGGCCTGTTTAGTTGAACACAACACTGATGAACTCGCAGGAATTGAAAAAAGATACAGAAGATCTTTATAGTGATTTGCTGCCGCTTAATAGAGATCTTTCTAGATTTTATAGTGATTTGCTGCCGCTTAATAGAAGAGTATTTAATTATTCTGCCTGTCACTGTCACATACATAAACAAAGACAAATTATTAGCAGTAAATAAATACTAATAGTTTTTAATACTATGAAAATAGTTCAGCATCCAACTTGCTATTTCACTACTTTTTGAAAAAAAGAAAACCAAAAAGAAAGAAGAGTGGGGCGTAGTTCATCCAAAGTGCAAATGTTATCATTAATAAACTGAAATAGAATGAAACATGACCAGCAGGGGTCAGCAGGTGGTCAGGTACTCAGGCTTGGATGGTAACTAAGTTCCCTGCAGCACACCTTGAATACTTCAGGCTCCTTCAGCCCCCCCAGTGCTAAACCCTCAGCAGGGGTACTTGGCCCTTTAGTCCCCTCAGTGGGGAGTCACCTATGAAACCCGGCACCCACGCACACCACATGTCCCCAATCATTCAGCACGCTTAGCAAAGCTGCCGCCGTTATGTAGCCATTATCCATTTAACTTCACTCTGCTGCTCGGTGTCAGCTTCCTTTTGTTAAGACTCATTCAGGTACAAAGTATTATTTCAGGCCGTGGAACAGGATAGCTTTACAAAGCCCTCAAGAGAAAGCATTTATCTCATTGATTATGTATCATAGTCATACAATGTCTAATATCTTTTCACAAAACTTGTTCTCGCAGTGGGGAAGCACAACTATTAAAAGAGCATGTCCTTGTGCCTTGTCCCTATTGTCCCAGACCGCTTCATATAAACATACACATAAGCAGCTTAACTTTTGCCACTGCTGTGAAACAAGTAATGCTTTGTTCCATCCAGTGTCACATAGGATGCTCAAATCCTAATCTTACATTTAGTTTTACCCTCAATAAAGACCGCAGGCAAAGGACACACAAGCAATATTTCATATTATACAGGGGTCTTTGAAATCAAATCACCTGAGGGATGATGGGAATTCGAGCTAGACCAGTAGTTTCCCAAAATTGGGGGCAGGACAGTCTGAGAGAGCGGCTTGAGACACATAAAATAATATATCTAAAAAAAATTGTGGGGAAATTCCTCTGATTTGTGGTTTAATTCCTTTGTACAATGGAAATAGCTGTCAAGTAAAAATAAAAAAAAATAAAAGTAAAGTAAATAAAGTCCAGTGAAGTTCGGAGGCTTTATCTGTCAAAGTGTTGACATGAGGGGGGAACAAAAATGATCCTATCTCCAGGAAAACAAAACCTTGAATCACTGATGTAGACAGAAAAACAAACTGTGCCTGTTTAGTTGAACACAACACTGATGAACTGATAGGAATTGAAGAAAGAATATACAAGAAAAAGCCTCAAAAACAAGTCATTCTTTTTAGTTTTTATACTGATCTGCTCTCCCTTAATGGAAGAGTATTTAATTATTCTTCCAGTGACTGTCGCAAACACAAACAAGGACAAATTAGTAGCAGTAAATAATTAACCACTGATGTAGACGAAGGCTAAAAACACAGATCTGCTAAAACTATTTTTCCCATGCATTTGTCATTTTTTGCCCACCTACAGCTACCAGACACACGTCGACGCCTTTGAATCTTTCACCGATGCTGAAAACAGTGGGATGAATCCCATCCACGCGCCAGTCATTCACATCGACACAAACAATAAGGGATTTTGTTGCAGATGTGTGTTATCTGATCAGATACAGTGAGTGAGGTGGATGACGTCTGCAGCAGCGTCTGCTCTGCTCTTTTTACCCTGCCAGCAGTCACGCTGTGACCACAAGCAGTGTGGTTGCAAGGTAACCTAACATCAAATGCGGATCCACGTTCGGGGGGTTATTTTACACAGTAACGTCGGCATCTGCACACGTTGTGCTCGGAATGTCACCAGTATCCACAGAGGCAGCACAACCCTGCTGTAAAAACACATAAAGGATGCTGTCGACTTATTTGGCCCAGCCTGTGTGATCGCTGACAAACAGTAGGTGCAGGGGAAATGGATGGCTTTAATAGAGAGGATTAACTGATGTATACAGGGACGGATAACTTCAAATACAGTACGGAATATATCCACTTCCCAGCCATCAGCTTCAATTTGTAGAGCTCCTTGAATCAATAGGGTCATCACTCTCAAGTATACCATGAATCTTTCATTCCTCCAGAGCAGTGGGAGCCTGCAGATTGTGTGCTCCATACCAGTTTAATGCATTTACCCTGTAAGCCGCTCATTCCCAGTCACTGTGCTGTCAGAGCTGACATCTTTATTCATGAGCACACATGCTCCGCTATAAATTCCTCTGAGGAGTATTAAGGGTTGTGTCTTGAAGCTGAGATGCAGGCCAGGGAGGATTGTGAAGAGACAGGGAGCAGCGATTATACCAGGAGGTTTCAGTAGTGATGATCCGCCAGGCTTCAAACACTGCAGCTGCATGACGTTATGAAGAAGATGTTTGTCAGATAAAAGGATGGGGGGGAAATTAAAAAGCGTTTCAAAACAGTTTTTTTTTTCAGTGATTGTCCTGTAGATGGTGAAAACACCTGGTTCTTTACCTTCTTTTTTTAAAGACTCACAAAAAAAACAGGCTGCTGGTGGTGGATTAAACATGTATCCATGGCCTAGAATCCAATCAAACTCACAATTAAAAATTTAAACCCTGGCTCCTTATGATTAAATAAAATATGTCTCCTTTTTTTCCAACATAGACTCTTTACATGCAGAGCTGTCTGTCGACATCGTAGCAGTCACGACGGAGGGCAAAAAAAAAAAAAAAAAATCAGTCACGACGGAGGGCAAAAAAAAACCAAAAAAACCCACAAGCTCAGAGTAACAATAGGCAGAAAAATGACAAAGAATCTGCTCACAGGTCAAGTGTGTTTGGACTGACTGCTCAGCTGCATCATGCCGGCCATGAAAAGCTCATGTGAGAGCGCGGCAGGAGGAGGTCAATCCAGGGATTTATACAGCACACTGGTAACATTGTATTAAATCTCTCAGACTCTGAACTGATGCCTCTGCAGTAGAACCATTCAGACCAGGATCAGGAGTGGGCAAAAGGCACGACAGTTGTACCGCACTTTGATGCGATGCATTAAAAATGTTACGTATATCTGGTTGTAACTACTCTTCATCTACAGTGTTATTTGGGATTTTCAAATTTCAGGCTCACAGTAAGTACAGGTGTGTGTACCTGTGATGTCGTTCACATTACTGTAAGTGAAACTGTATGTGAAGCCAGCATATATTTACTCTATCTCAACTATGAACTGTATAAAAAAATACAACGGACAAACGTCTATTGAATGATCTTTTCTGGTTTCAGAGGAAACTCAGTTGGAACATTGTGTTTTGGGAGAAATAAATAATAAACATTTCTCAGTATAATATCAGTAAAAATTTCTGTTTTAGGTTTATGTTCAGAATTTCTACGTCTCCATTAAAAGACGGTCCAGATGGTCCATGGTGAATATAATTCTATTGCATTCTACTGTCATTATCTAGCAGGATTGGACCTGTGATCAGAGGTTGCTGGTTCAAATCCTGGACTAGGTAAGACTCTATATATATTTTCAACAACAACTTTTTAAATAAAAATCTGAATGAAACTAAAGACTGAGACAGGACCAATATATTGACTTCATTATCATATACATATATATATGCTAAAGGCCACATGATCAAGTTAGCAGTTAGCATGTATTGACATGTCTCTGTCCATTTTTTTTAGATTTAGGGTCTACGTTCTCAAACAGTGTCTCTCGCTCTGTCAAACCCAGCACAGAAATAATCACGAATCCTGTTATCACCTGCTATTTCACCGAGCCTCTCTTCCCATTTTAGCTTCTAGTTTTAAAATAAATCCAAAACTGAGAAGAACTGCACGCCGTAGCAGATTCTTACCCCGGTGTCACCCAGGCACATGAGGCTGTGAATCAAGGCGAGTGCCAAAATGATGTGCCTTTCATTTTTTACCTCAGCGTTTCACGGTGTTCTCATACGGAGCAATTTACTGTTGTATGTGACACGTTGACAGTCAGACTTCCTCAGCGCTGCAGACATTACCATAATTGGTACAATTTTCACACAGTTTCATACCCGTAAAAATGTGACGCAGGAATGAGAAGGTTGACTACAAATACTATGTTTGTCATGTGTTTTGGTTGGTCTTATGATATATGCATGGGGAAATAGTGGCAACAAATTTGTAATATAATTTTTTATTTTTTGCCCTCTGTGGTCAGGGTGCATCCTGCGTTTGAATGACAGGCCACATTAATGAAACAGGACGAGGTCAGGAGTGCGGTGGGTGCCCTCTCAGGGAGCATCATGTCACATAAGACCCTGCGTGGCTCTCGGGCGTCCTCTGACAACCGCAGCGATTGCCAGGTCACTGACTTACCATCCTTACGGTGGTAGATAATCTCCACCTTGCGCTCCTCAGACCCCAGCAGAGCCTGGGACACCTGGCTGACGGCGTCTTTGTCGGTCAGGTCGCCATGGAGGAAGTCACAGGTGCACGGCCTCTGCATGATGTCTGGTCGTGAGAAGCCTGTCATCTCACAGAAGCCATCGTTGCAGTATATAATTGCACAATTCTCCGCCCGGGCATTGGCTATCACAAACTTCCGGTCTGCAGGAAAAGAAAAATAATGACTGAGAGGAGTCCAGACTTTGACCTGACAGAGAATGGTCTTATTTTTTTTTTTTTACTGTGACTTCCAATTAAAAAAAGACACATTTTCAGAATTGAACTTTTTACATCAATATATTTTGTTCTGGTGTGTGGGCAAAGTTAGGAAAAACAGATCATGGAAATACGTGATACCTGATAGTATGACATAACAAATCCGCCCTACAGTGGCTAAGTCACATGCAAATGCACTGACCCCTAAAAACCCCTGTTTATTATGCGACGGCCGCCTTTGTTCAAACTGTTTAATGAATTGCGAGCCATTCATTCCTGAACCTTTCATGCATATTGCGTCAGACAAGAACACCTTCATTTCGGAAACTGAAATAAACATCACCCTGTCGGTCGTACGTCCATTTGTCACATCTATTTATTAAAGCACATTATTAACATACTCTCCATTATTTCTTTTTTTTTTTTACCAAATGATGACATTAACCATTGGATACCTTACGACTCAGGACACCAATTACTATTGCGTCTCGTAAGATTAGTTCATTTTGATTGATCATCCAGAGGGGTCATCAAAAGCACAGCTTGAGGTCACATACAGCAAATTTTTAGGCCAATCATAGCCCTCGGACCAGAGTTAGGCGTCTGCCGGGTTAAGTGCCCTCTAAGGACCCCAGGGGTCAAATATTGATCTGAGTTTGGTGCATTTTCACCAATAGTGCAATCAAAATTGCATACTTATTACTTATTGTCAATTAAAATATATTAAGTATGTATAGTATATAGTATAACTATATATAGTTGTTGTTGCACATTTATATAAACAACAACCAGGTGTTATGTCATAGATTGCGACAGTAAGATTATCTTGGAAATGTGATTGATTTGACTTAATAATTACTAGTTAATTCATTTAATGTGTAACTTTTCTTGGACTGACTGCTACTCATTAAATGCCATTATACTGTAGAAGGAAATTACAGTACAATATTGTCATAATATTCAAAATATTATATATTTTTTAATCATTCCATAAGGGTTACAAACTGCACAAGCATGGCCGCACATATTCATTACCAGGGCCAATGCTGGCCCATGAACCAGAGTTTGGATTAGCTGTTTGAGTGCCCTGTACTGACCCTGGAGGCTACACATCACACACTAATCTGAGACCACATTGCAAAAAAAAAAAAAAAAAAAAATCAAGCTCAGGGTATGTTAATAAACCACTTTCCTACATTTTTCTATTTCAAAATAATACGTATTTACATTGTTGTTTTTAACAGTGCATACATCTAATAACAAGCAATGCATTATTAGAATGATGTTATAGTTGCCCTTTTATACAAAACTACCCAGCAATAAATGCATCTGTTAAAACTAGAAACAGCTCATGTAGATCATACTCACTCTGTCCTTCGAATTTCCGAATTATTGTTCCGAGGAATGTGTTTTGCGGCGCAACGTGACCTCTTCTTACAGGCATGGTTCTAGGCAGAATATCCCTTGATCTGCTTTGAAAACCGCCTTAGCAAGTAAATCCCGAAGTTAGAGATGCTGGCTCTTCGTGATGTCCCTCTTTCCACGGACCATAGTCGACGCGAGCGAGCGCTCTTTCCACTTTGAATGACCTTCTTTTCCTACTTGGCCGCACTCTTCTCTAGCCCGTCTGTATGTCACAGCATGTGAAAGCCTCCTCGCCGAAGCGCACGGAATCGAGGAGGACTGTGCGAGTTACATTCAGTTCGCAAAGCATTTCGCGTTCCGTGGAGGATGGATGCGATCCTGACGTCCTTTGTTAGTGGAGTGCCGGGCGCACGGCGGACAGTGGCTGATATGCCAGAGGGAGTGACGTTGCTCCCAGGGGGCTTAGCTTCCTCCACCTCTGGTTAAGGATAAGTCGCAGCCTCCGATGATTGTGAGAGTCTCTCCTGAATCTGCGCCGCAACATGCTGCTCAGTGAGGAGGAAAAACAGTTGGAAAAAAAAAAAAAAAAAAAAAAAACACACCAGCTTCCGGCCCACACCCCCAGTCTGTGTGATGGCAGTGAAATAGTCCTAGTTTCACGTAGTAAAATGATCAAAGCCAAACACTAAACTGTATCATGTTATATTTCTGATTAAGGTGTTTTCAAAGACTGGGTCACGACCATAAATGGGTACTGGCAACTTTCGGTCACTAAACATTATTTTTTATTTTTTAAACAGCCATTTGTTTCAGATTCACGGGTGTATTTTAAAGACTGTGTTTAAGAAGTGTTTGTAAATAAAGACGTTTTTCTCTCTGTCCTAGGGGGCGCTATAAACAGGTGAAATTGTTCTGATTTTTGGTTTGTCATGTCATGTTTGTTAAACACGACAGCTGGTGACTAAGAGGATTAGTTATGACATTTTTAGAGAAGGTAAAAGCGGTACAGTACGGCAGATACTTTTGAATATTTGAAATATACTCTACACTCTTTACTCCTACAGTTCATCTTTTACTACATCTTTTGTGTTGCCATGTTTTACTGGAACAACAACAGGAAATGACATTTGCGCCACATTTTAGATATGAAACATAAAACTCAACAAAAGTTATGAAGTGAATTTTAGTGTGGAGCTGTCCGTGGTGCTGCAGCTGCAGAGTCAGTCCGACTCCATCCACAGTTAACCTTGAAAGGTAAAGGAAGGAAGGTCGGCGTCCTTCTACTGAACCTCTTCCCTTTCCGGCACATATTTCATACCTTTTAGTTTTTAATGTAAATTAATGTTCATATTTTATGAAAAAGAAACACTTTTTTTCAATGTCCACAGTAATACTGCTGTACATCTTGGTTTGTGTCTTTTGCTATTACCTGCACTTTCTGGGAGCTCATATGCAGCTGCACATATTTTACTTTTATATTGACCCACAAAACCAGTGGTTGTACAGAGTACAGAGTACGAAGTACACAACTCTAAAATACAGCTGAGATGGCAAATTTTTTTTCGACTTTGCAAGTGACATGCAAAATGATCTTTTGTTCTTCTCCGTGTACAAACAAACAGAGCAACAAAGACCTCTCCAGGCCACGATGCTTCGTCAGCGGTATCTAACTAAATCACTGTTGCATTAGGCCAATCTGTAGCCTGGCTCCATTACTCATAACACAGCCATGGTCAAGGCCTTCAGTGGAGAGCCATTATTCACCAACAATTAAGTTACGACATCACGCCTGTGTTCCCAAAACCTCTTTTCTCTAAATGGTCTGTTGAAGTTCAGAGCAAAACAACTGTAAGGCCAGAACATGGTGTTTCAACAGTACTGTTACATAATACCACAGTGGACCATAAGTGGCTCAACATAAGGCTCTGGTCATGGACAGGTGATTAAATATAGAGTTAATAATGCAATCATTTTTACTTTTCACAAAATTCATCAAACAGGCCAGATTAAACCCCCAGTGGACCTGTTTTGGCCCACGAGCCATATGTTTGACACCCCTTCTTTAAATTATTAATAAAAAATCTGTCAATGTTTCTCAACAACAGGTCATTCTGACTCTGATACTAACAGAATTAAGTCTAAAAGATGTTTTCCTTCAAAAGTTTTATGATCCTTCAACGATGGATACGCCGTATTACCGGCCGCAGTAACAGCTGATATAACGGCTGCAATGATGTGTTTTTTGACATATAAACACATCGTAGTGGAAACATGATGAATGATGACGCAAAACCATATCTGTTAACGCTTGGTAATTGAAACAAAGACTCCCAGCTTTACCTCTCCAAACCCCGGGCCATGAACAATCTTGACATATACCTCCTGGTAAAAGCAAAGGGTAGCAATAGGTTGGTGAGAGGTGGCATTTACTGAGAGCTGCACACGAGGGACACTTCTCACAGAGAGCTGTGTGGCCTTTGTTAACAACCTTCTGAGTTGAACGGTCACATTTAGAACCCGGAGTGGTGACATTTAGTTCTACTGTAGTTTGTTGTTTTGTTTTCCTAACGTTCTAAGAGCAACGCTTTGATGGAGCTTTGATTTTTTTTTGTTATAAACGTGATAAAAAATGAAAGTTTCGGTTACAAATGTGGCTCTGTTTAAAGTGATAGTAAAGTTTTATTCCCAGCGTAAATACTACAGTATATAAGATATAATTGTCTCATAAACCAGATTAGAAATCCGATCAGCCCACTGCACGGAACGAAATGAAGTGTGTGAAAGCCGAAACCCGTGCGAGGCCCGTCCTGTTGTTCTGATGTGACACGGTACCTGATCTTTTCTCATCAAATGATGCAACTCATACAAGATGTAAGAACACTTTGAGTCTTTCATCAGTGATGGGTTGATGTGCCTGCAAAAGAAAAGCAGCATGGCATCCATCACTCTGTGGCTGCTGCAGTAGTAATTGGCCTGTCAGGTTACAATAGTTACAGCTTTGAGTGATTCAGGATAGGATGGCAGGGCTTTAGCGGGAGAGGAACACCCAGATTCACGCCGGTGCCAGCAGACATCCATCTCTGAAACAACAAAGGTGAATCCCACTGGGCCTGGAAGTGATTGCACTTTAAGGGCAGATTTCAACAGGAAGTACAAGGACTCACAGGACCATAGAAGGAGCGCAGCTTTGATACGACATGAAATGTTTACATGTAAATACATTAGTTGAGAATCAGCTGAAGGAATTACGTGGCATTATGGGGGAGGGGAGGGGTGTGGGTTTCTAATACAATCAATTTGTCCCACAGCTGATTCATTCATCAATTCATTCTTTAGTTTTTCATTCATTCATTCATTTATGTATTTATTTCATTCACTCATTCCATGTAATCTCTTGGTATTTAGAGCAATTTGAAAAGCAGCAGCAAATCTGAATCTCATGACAGAACAGAACGCTCGCTCGCTCTCTCTCTCTTCCTCTCTCTCTCCTCTGTTCTTCTGCCCATGCCGTGGTGTTTGTTTGTGGAACATAATCACCAGGCTTACTCATTGTCCACATAACCATTACCACACCATACAGTAATCCACCAGTGTAAAACTCTGGAGTGGATGTTATTGCTGCTGTGCTTTTACCCTTTCGCCATCTTACACACACACACACACATTCTTTCTCCACCATCTGCTCTCAGTGAGTGAAAAAAAAGGCCATTGTGCACTTTTGGATTTGCATGTGACCATACAGTATAATTTAATCTGCCTGAGGTCAGCCCTCTGCCCTACAGCCCCTTATGAAAATGTCTGACCCAGTACTAGACCCAGTACTAGACCTAGTACTAGACCTAGTATTAGACCCAGTATTAGTCCTAGTATTAGACCTAGTATTAGACCTAGTATTAGACCCAGTATTAGTCCTAGTATTAGACCTAGTATTAGACCTAGTATTAGACCCAGTATTAGTCCTAGTATTAGACCTAGTATTAGACCTAGTATTAATGGCCAGTGAGTTTGACTTTAACTAAAAGTACCTTAAAAATACAACACAAATGAGTTCATGCTTTACACTTAATTTTCTTCTGTTTTTTTAAACATGCATATTTTGTAACTGTATATTTTTTTATATATTGACAATCATCATTTGATGACATCTCATATTGTATTGTGAGAAATGCTGCTGCCTGTTTACGCAGCGTCTCTCACACACACACACGTGAGCAGCTGTGGACCTGAGGCACGGGAGGTGTTAGCCGCCACCTGCTACACACTCTGACAGCGCGTTCTCTTGCCTTCACACAGGGCGTGAGTGCTGATTCATCACAAAGTCCTTTTCCATCGGTAGGTCATCTATACATAGTTCCACATAGATTAGCAATGGCACAGGAGAACAGGTCCACGTGGGCCACGGCGTGCCGTTCCTCACGCTACACTAGTCCACGGTACAGTACACGATAGAACTGCAAGGACAGACTCACAACAACAACAACACTTCTCCACAATCCTTGACTTGAAGAACGGCTCCTCGTGCACACGTGCATTTTGAGTAAAAACATTAAAATATCAGTTTATGTCGAAGACAAATGACATAAATCATTTGTGAAATACAATTAGAATTACCACTGAAATACCAGCGTGGATGACAGACACAATTTATCATCACTTACTTTTAAAAAAACAAAACATTTTATCCAAAAGTCCACAATTTATCATCACTTACTTTTATCATTTATCGGAAAAAAAACAAAACATTTTATCCAAAAGTCAAATGACATTAAAGCTTTAACCTGAGGGAAGAATGGAACTGATCACATCCTTCTGACCTGACCCCTGTGTGGGTGAAGAACTGGGAATCAAACCAGCAGCTGTTGTAACTAACGTCAATTATTTAGTACAAATAATTAATAAAAATAATCAAACATCTCACTTTAAATACTGCCGTTTCCTTCATTCTGCCTCTTTTCTCTCTTTTTACACAGCCTTTTTGTGGACTTTGATAATGAAGGGAGGAAGATTGGACTGTGCTCGTTATCCAAACCACATCATGACACTGGTTTTAATTATGTCCTGGAAGAATACTGCAACTTGTTACTACAATCTGGAGAATAACGTCATTAAAAGGCCCAATAATGATTCTGCAGACACAGAGACTTTAAGACTTTACTGTTCTCTGAAAACCTTTAGCTGCTGCGATATTATTATTGAGCTTGTGTGTTTGACTCTTTAAAAGTCACAACAAAGTCAAGAGTGACTTATGAGCGTCCCAGTTAAGTAAAAGTCAGGCTCTGATCTTACAGGTCCAGCTAGGAGGGCCAGGTTTCAGGCTAGCAGGCAGGGCCTAAAGCTAAATGCTAGCAGCCGAGGCCTGGAGGTAGTCTAGACCGAGGTCTCAAACAATCCAACGAAATCTGACAAAACCATCACATCCAAAGGCCCCCGACATCATGGAGTGTGTTAATAATGTCAAGTTTTACACAAACACAGACAAATGAAACGGAAACATCACACCACACATCCAAAACTACTTTTTTTTCAAGATCACACACTCACCAGACTGACTTGGCTGCCATCTTTTGTGAGGTTGTGAGAAACTTGTGTAGAAGTACCACCAGCAGGGGGCCAAACTACAAAAACCTTCAAATCCTTGTTCATTCCTCACACATTTGACACACGTCGTCATATCAGTGTAATCTGACATGTTGGTATTAGGATCTGGGCAACAGCCTGGTCACAGTATCATCATAAGCCTATAGTAACCTGTACTGTTGGGACCCAGATTTTAAAAGTCACAAACCTTCACGACCCTAGTCAATAGACATTATTGGTAAACTCCTGGGAAACATGATGCGAGACGACCCCAAAAAAAAAAAAAAAAAAACCCAAAAAAACAAAACAACTCTTGCGACCCATCTGAGGGTCACAACCCAGTCTTTGGGAAACAATGTTGTAGGTAGTATCCACATAAAAAGGTGAAGATATCTGGACTCCTATTTTACCCACTGGATTCCTAATATTCACATTCATTCTGTTTGGGCCACATAAAAGTAGACTGGGCTGCATCATTGCTTTTAGCGACGCGCTTTCATCTGCAGCTTAACTTCCTGCATCCGAGTGCAACAACCACCGGGGGGCAGCGGTGGGGAGGGGGGCTGACATAACACTAGATTGGATGGCTTCAAAGCTCGTGCTGTGCTTGAACCAAGAAGGACATAATAAAGGATGTTAATTAACGCAAGTGGGTTACGGACCAGAACTGAGGGGGGCAGTGCTGGAGGACAGGCTGGAGGGCTGCCTTTGAAGCCATCAAAGTCAGATGTACAGGTTTTTGGTGGTCATTCACTGGATGAACCCAAACCCTTCAGAAAGAAAAAGTCAACAATCGGCCACAAAAAAAAAAGGGTCAAACAATCCTTTAAATGGCTTTGAACCGAGAGGTCTGAGACATGGGTTAATGCCCTGGCTCCATCACAGGAGTAAGGGTCTCTGATGAGGAAAGACCTGGAGCACCTGATGACCCTAAGACATCCTTGAAGACGGGTCCCAGGACTTCCTCAGATGTTTCTTCTCTTCATACGTGGAGCTTCATGTCAGTGAATACTTCACATTTACATTTTCAATTGAATAAATCTGAAACATACTGTACCATGTACAATTAATACAACATTTAAACAGAAACATCTTTATAAACATTTATAAACATCTCTCCTATATATGTATGTATATATATATATATATATTTCCATTAATCACTGAACTAGTGTTTTCAGCCGGTACAGGATTCAGTTCAGTCTTGAAATTGCGAATACACAAACTTTTTCCTGAGGAGTTTCTGAATGCCACTGCTGCACAGAAAAATACATGTTTGACATCAAACCACGAGTTTGAGGCTGAGGCTTCGCGTCTTTGCTTATTTACCTTGTTGCTTTGAGGGGATAGGGTTATTTTTATACGGCAAAACCAGCCAGCATAGCATTTTTAATGAATATTCCCATGTGTTACATACTGGTGCGTTTCCTTTTGATCACCAGATCCACTGTACTGTCAGCGATGCAGATGCAATTATCGGTAATGACTATGAAAAAGGAGGGAGAGAAGAAAGGAGAGAAAGAAAAAAAAAAAAAACAACAAAAAGATTTCTAATGTCCGAGCAGTCAGAGCTGACCTCCGTGTAAATAATTTAGGCGTGAAAGTGATGGTGGTGCAATTCTCTTCTCGCCCTGTCATTACAGTGGGATGTAAGGAAATGTGCTTCTTCCAGATGAGGTGCAATTAAATGAGGCGGCCGAGTGTCGTTAGAGGCTACACTTCTGTGTCTGTGTCTGTGTCTGTGGTCGGTACTGAGGGTTGTTGTGAGTGTTGGAGCGTTTATCTGTATCTCAACCAAACCTCAGTGTGTAAAGCTGACTGTGACAGTGATACAAACGTCAAATATCTAATGACTTTTTAACATTTTTATTTTAATTATAATTAACTCTCTCTCTGGAGCGGCTGGTTCAGCTGAAGCCCAAATATGTAATAATTAAAATGTATTGTTATGTCTCAGATACTGCCGTCCAGACCTACAGTATCTGACATTTTGATTTACAGTATTTACACATGACGTCACATCATTACAGGATGTTGTATCCAGTTTGACAATAACATTATTGTCATTACTCTGTTCTATGACTAATGCAGAAAGCAGAATTTTCTTGTTCAACTGCTGCGTTGAAGCGGCTTTATTGTGGTTTACCGTAAATAGCTCTGGCCTGACACCATGCGGTTGTTCAGAGACATTACCATTAAGATGTTTAAACGCTGTGCACAGGCTGTTTTTGTATTTTGTATGTATTTTGTCGTTTTTATGATCAAATCGATTTATTTTTATAATTATTATTTTATGTTTTTTTAAATATTTTGTAAAACATTTCTAATTTCTCTAGTGCATTTATTTTGTTCTTTTAAAATGATCTCACAGGAACGAACTGTATCTTATTCTTGCAGTACAAACAAAGGGACTTGAACATGTGACCTTTCTGCTGTAAGGCAACACACTCCTGACCACACAGGAGCTGTAGATTCTCTCTGTGAAATCAAATTCCTCCGGCGTGTTTCAAGTGAGCACTAATATATTTTAATACGTAACTAATTACTTCAGTGACTTCCTTGAGTCTAAAATAGACCTGAGGAGTCATCGTCAGTGATGACTCACAACCGACGTCATAAAACTAGTTTTAAGGTCACCTACAGTTGGTATACACACGCAGGCATACAGTCGTGCCAATAGGTGGCAGCAATGCAGCTTCAAGAGTGCCTCACCCCCTCACCCCCTCACACCCATGCACTTCAACACTTGTTCTTAAAAGGTACTGAAATACTCTCGATGACTTCTACAACAAAATATAAAATATAAATAAATAATAAATAAATGTTCTTACACATTAAAGTCAATGACCTGTGCATTTAAACCACATTAATAAAACGACATATAGATACAGGGCCAACATTGGCCACAAACACATAAATCCCCCCCCCCACGATCTCGATAAACCGTCATGTTTGACAGTTAAAGTGTCATCAGCAGTTTATCTGTCAGGAAGAAGAGTTTTTAAACATTAGATGGCGCTCGTTAAAAGTGAGTGAATAAGCCCTCTGTAACATATTCATGGTGTTTGGACATTTATTATCGCTCGTCTAGACTGTGCTGAATAAATCTGCTGCAGCGTTTATGGTGCTGTGGGATCGCCGCGTCATTAAACGCTGTTCTACTTCAACTTTATTACCGCCGTCAATTCAACTAAACGGGAACTAAACAAAATAGAAATAAATATAAACGATGGGAGGGGGCTGTTATATCTGATTGTCCAGATATAAATAAAGTTCAAAAACACTGCGATCGTGAGATAAACGGAAGGGGGCAGTGTTGATCAAGACATATAAAGAAGACAGAGGAGGATCTGGTCTGTTTGTTTCCGTCAGGTCGATGTGGGACGTTAATAAAACAACAGTCGATCATTTGTTTTCTGTTAAATCTATTTCTTTTGTATTTAAAGTGGCAGAGTGATACAAATTATTCTCTGAAGTGTACTTCAATTCTAACTTGCACTTGAACGCATCACTTTCACAACATTCCACCAATGGAAATGTCCATGGATGGTTTCTACTACAGCACTCTGAAGCTGACGGTTAATATGCTGGATATAACTCCAGACTAATGCTCTGAGAATGACCCGGCAGGTTGGACCGAACCCACGCCACACTGTGTGCTGGTCCACAACACTGGGAATTAACAGAGGAAGGTTAGAAGCCTGTCTGGGCTTGCCAGAGGCAGGGTGAGGAGAGTGGAAACAAGGAGAGAAATGTATGTGAGACAGCCGACACACACACACACACACACACACACACACACATATAGATAGATAGATAAATAGATAGATAAGTTGGTAAAAAAATATTGTTAGAAATTCGATTTTAAGCAACATTCAACATGATTTTAACATCATAATTAACATTATTTACTTAGTCTAGATCAGTGGTTTCCAGACCTTTTCTGCAGCGCCTCCTTTGTAGATAGTTGAGCAATAGACTATAATAATGTTTATTGGAACATTAAACATTAAAGGACAATAAAGAAAATAAAATGACAAATAAGATGTAGTTTTAAAAGATATCAATATTATTTTTTAATTATTTCTAAAAACCCTGCTGCAACACGCCTGCAATAACTCCCAAGGAGGCTGCGCTCCCTATTTTGGGAACCACTGGTCTAGAGAATTAAAATAAATTCAATACTGCATTTTAAACTGTAGTTCACTGATCCGAATAATCATGTTTTTTTTTCTTTTTATTAACAGAACTTTCTGTTGAAGTTTGTGCAAGTCAGTCAGTATTTCCTAAAATGAATTCTAGAGAGAGTTTGTAGAGAGAGTTTTTTTTTGTTGTGTTTTGTCAAAAAAAAAAAATCAAACTTTATATTGTACGTATGTCGTACTAACGGCTCATCGAAGCGTTAAACTCTTACTTGTGAGAAGGTGTTCTTTGGGTTAAACGTCTCTCCCTTCCGTTTAAACCTCTGCCAAATATTTCTAGTTTTGTCTCATGTGGCCAAATGTTATGATCACCTCGGTGTCATTTTTTTCTCTCTCTCCAAGTTTTTCTTAGCAGACTTTCGACTGGCTGAGGGCTGTCTCCTTGACAAAAATTAAGTTTTTCTCGGTCTGTAACTCACAGTTCCTTCCTGTGCTGGCCTCCAGTGACTGTCTTTTGTGACACTTAAATTCCAGACTTGGCTCAGTCTTCACACCATCTCACAAACTTTTTCCAGGGACTTGAAACCCACTTCTCACTTGTTTCCTGTCTTGCATTCTCACATCATCCGCCGGCTCAGTCTTGTTCTGTACTGTGTGGATCTTAGTGAAAATTTCTAATAATATTTCTCACAGCAGGTTTGACAGCGATAAACATTCTGGAAAGCTAATAATATATGACTTATCTGTAAGAGTCGAGGTTTTTTCCCCACACTTGTTGGTTCAGTTCGGTTGTTTTGACTTTCCATCTAACGCTAACGCTAATCGGAGCTTATTTTTAGTCACGTTTAACCTTGATTGAAAGGTTACTGCGTTGACACACATCACAGTTGTACAGTGGCTTCATAAATACTACAGTTCTTTGATGTGTTTACCTCAGTGTTTATTTAATTGTGAATTTTTTTTTGTAGTTCAGACTGTGTAAGTTGTCCACGGATTTGTGGACTAGCAGTAATAATTTAGAAGATTTTGAAGATAATTAATAGATTGTTATATATTTTATTTTCCTTTAGAAATATATAAAAGCATTCACACGGTGACACGGGGATTATCAGTGTTATTTAAAGGATGGTGACAGTGAAGTGGACTATGATTGTAATGGTTGTCTCTATGTGTGACAGCAAGCTGTGGAAAATGGAAAATGGACGGATTTTTTAAGCCTGGAAAAATGACTAAACTACCACATGCACTACGTTAATTATTGGTATAACGTCTATTTTCCAAGTAAGTGTACTTAGAAGTTGGGTCAGCGCTGAAGAAAGGTGAGCGGTGCTAAAAGTCAATCTTAAGTGCGGCACTGATGATAAAAAAGTTGTTCTTGTGAGGGGAAATCGGTGACATACCTATGTAACATTCATATGATTTGAATTATGAATCAGAGTGAGGAGGACTCTATGTTCTAGGCTGATGAATAATTAAAGGCCTGAGTATACAGATCATCATAATGACAAAGGGAGAATACTAATATCATGGTCCCTGAATCTGATTAGAGGTTAAGCAGAATGCAAACTGCATAATTTTTTTTTTTAATTCTTGCTTTATGTGCTTTTTGATTTGATTTTTCTATGTGAAAATAATATTCAATAAAAAAAATTATAATACGGTGTGTAATGACACAAAAAGTGGTGCAATTTCTTTAGGTCATTTGTTCAGGTGTCGGTTTTGTAAAAAAAAAAAATGTTTGTAGTGATTTAGACCTGCTCTACTGTTCAATTCGAATTAAATTCTCTTTTTTTTTTGAGGCCTGTGATCCAGTAATTGTCGTACACTGAGAGCCCAGTGTCCCCACTGACACATACATTGTGCACAATCTATTAAATTGAATGTGGTATTTAACTGGTTTGGAGCCGGGGCAAAGTTACAGGCTTTTGTATCAGTCTCTGTGGCTGACTGTGCTGATTTCAGTGAGAGAGAGAGAGAAAGAAAGAAAGAAAGAAAGAAAGAAAGAAAGAAAGAAAGAAAAGTAGGAGGGAGTCCATGCAGGTGAGTGTGTCTAACAGTGAGGAAATCAATATGATGTAAATTATTAAGAGCTCAGGAATGTGTCTGACCCCTACTGTCTTGCAGCAGACTGGGCTCTGAAGGCTGGCAGGTGGACGCGAGCTTGGACTCTCCCTCTTACACTCATTAGTGCTTGGGATCCGGGGCTCCTTGCAAGTGGGAAGGCAGGGATCACAGCGGGGTAGTGATGGCCCAGGCCTCTCACATCCCGGCTCAGCCTTCGCTCTGGCTCTGCCAGCCTCTCCCTGGAAGCTCATTAGTAAGTGCACTGATGCATAAGAGCTAGTCATTAGCTGGGCTTTTTTTTTCCGTCTTCATCTTTCTTTCCCCCGACACCATGTCTGATCCTGAAGACCGGTGGCAGTAGTGGTTTAAAAGATGAGAGAAGTCCACATTACTGCAGGTACTCCAGACATAGAAATGAAACAGTGGTAGTCATCCGATTATTTTTTTTTTTATCTTACTTTAAAGAGGTGGGGGGGGGGGGGGGGGGAGTCACTTTGGAGTTCTTCAAATGGAGCCCGTTCATAGCCCTTCAAACCAAAGTGTAAACATAAGCGCTTGACCAGGACTTCGGCTGAGAGCCCCCTTTCTTCCTCAGTGGTTGTTTTTGATCTGGGGGTATTTGCTTGTGCTGCTAGTCAGATCCCTTCAGCACCTGATGGTTGCCTAGCCTCTGAGTAAATAAGATCTGGGGCCCAGGCCTCTTTGGGGCTGCTGGGTAAACAAGGTCTCTGGAGTGAGAAGTGTGCCTTGAAGCAGGGAGAGCCCCGGTGTGGAGGCCTCCAGAGACATGCCATCCCAATTTTTCAATAGCTAGCTTTTTAATTCTGTTATCCCTCTCTCTCTCTCTCTCTCTCTCTCACCCCCACCCCCACCACTGACATACACAAAGAGAACTCCCTCTCTCTGAGTTTACTGCATGATTCATGTTAGCCTCCCTCGGACCTATATCTGTTGAGCGTCTTCATGTTTGCGTTGTATTAAAAACATCATCAAAAAGCAGAGAGATTTATGACTTCAGATTTGCAGAACAGAGAATGTCTGCTCTTCCACACCACCCAAGGTTATAAGAAATGGACTTCATAAGCTCCTTCTATGCACAAAATGTATAAATGTACACTTCAGGTGCCGTCAGCCAACGCTGTGGTGCGTTTGACGGACACCCAGGATCACGCTCCCGTCTCCGAGGTACTGTTTGGCATTTAGTGAGCCCTAAAATGTCAGAAAGATAAATGATGATGATGGCCGCCGTAATAATGTAATTACTTTCTCAATGGTAATCTTCCAAAGCCCACAAACAAATGGCTTTCATATACTACTGAAAGATTAAACAATTTAACACCTGAACTTGCCATGACTTATTAAAACCAAAAGTAGCCACCGGGGACCTGCAAAATATTGCTGTTGTTATGTTGCGCAACCTACATGTGGTGTTTGTTAGGATCCACAAAAGGTAGGTTTCAAAAGACGACGTGTTACGTCCTGGTCCTCAGAGTTACTGTGTAGGAATTTATACAACAATGTACGCAGTATCTGCATGTGTTAATAACAAAATAAACCAAAAGGATCAAAAGAAAAGAAAAAAATAAACCTTCATGACAGGATCAACCAGGTAGATGTATAGAAAAACCTAGAGAAGAAAAGTTAATGTTGTGTGCAGTTGTATTTATATTTTGAGCAAACGTATGGTCACATGATCCACTCCTCTCATTACAGACTGCTCATGCCAGAAAAAAATTACAAAAACTGACTTGGATCCTAAACAAAGAAGTGTTCTTTTCTTGTACGTGGTACTGTTCACTCACTGTACCCGGGGATTTGCTTTTGTGAATGTTAACTGAGTCAAACCTCATCAGCCTAATGTGATCTGACGCCAGCCGTACTGGATCCCTTTTTGCCAATTAAAGCAGGTTGTACCTCACAGACTCCTGCTGACCGTTTCACATCCACTGTTGATAGTTTTTGGCTGCAGGAGCCTCACAACTCCTTGTTAGAGCCAAAAAAACCACAAGGAACCCACCACCTCACTCAGCCCCATAAAATTGTCTGTTGATTGCCAGCAATTAGTAAAGCCGTGCAAGCTGAAAAACGACAAGATGGGGCATCGCTATTGCGATGCATGGGCGGCGGCGGCTCACACGCCAGCTGAAAGCCTCAACAATGTTTGTTAACCCCGGGGGTCACCACTGATTCACTAGTGTAGACAGAAAACAAGATTTATGTAGCACAAATCAATACGCAGTCAGACTTTTACCATTGTGGAGCGCCGATCCAGGCACTTCTCTCTATCAGTCTAACATGACACTAATGTGTTTTTATTTCTGTTTAACCCGGCCTGTGATGAATCTGTTGGCAGCTCCAGACAGAAACCACGAGGAGCCGGATGCCCTTGATTAGTTGGTGAACACGTGGCGACACGCAGAGGCTGATGCAGCGGCATGTCACACGGCGCGATGGTCTATCAGTCTTCAAGTTTCCTGCTGCGGCTTGTTTACCCACAATTTATCCGTCAAAGAAATCAGCGATTTACATCTGAGTGCCTCGCCGCGTATCAAACGCACTAACGGCGCTGTACTTGATCCCACTCACTGTTGTTTCAAGATAAATCCGACTAAATGCGGCGCGTCTCCACATCTCCTCTCTCAGAGCGTTCATTAGCCAGGCTAACTGCTGCTCTTTATGCTTCTCACCATCAGCTCTGATTTCATTAATGGCGCTTGTCAACCCAACACAAAAGGATGCGCCCCCTGGCTGAGCACCTGGTGCAGACAACCTCAGTGTAAATTATTGTATGGTAACAATCTGGCAGGACCGTAATGTAAAATTTGCTCCGTGTCTCCCTGTGAAAAGAGCGAAATTGGAAAGTGACGTGAGTGACGGATGGAATTCTCCGAGCAGTGACCAGCAGGGACAAAAGAGGAGTTGAGCGCGGTGCCAAGATCTATTTCAGGGGTTGCATTCCAATTGATTAGGGAGGCATGTGAAACAAACACTGGTGACACAAATGAGTGTATGGTCCCAGCAACTGTTGGGCACCTTGCCAAGTGGACAGTCTTCCCCATAAAGCATCTCCCACTCTGTCTCACACACACACACAGTTACCACAGTGTGACCACTGGGATAGACGAGCAGCTTTATCACTCACTGCATGTGAATACGTTTTCAAACAGTGACAGTGACATGGAATTAAATAGTCATATTTACAATCCTCAGGTCCAGAAACAAAGTGTACTTTGGACAAATACTTTTAGGGTTTTAACTTGGGGTGTAAGAAAATATCAATACACTGAAATATTGTGATATTTTGTTATCGATATTCCACAGCACTGGATCGATCTTTTTATTAACAATTAACTTGCAAATATTCATGAAGTTGGTTCATTTTATTGTTCTATATTATTCTATTATCTGAGCTCAGCACTGGTGGACCATATAAAATAATGAAGTGGGCCACATTTGGCCCCGCGGGCCTTCAGTTTGACATATGAGATCTATACGAAACGCTTTTTTTTTCTTTTCCATTAGTGTTTACGTGCACGTGTCCCATTAGTGTTTACGTGTGTGTGTGTGTGTGCACACACCTGGACTCAACAGCGCCTCAGTTCCAACCCCCGACTTGCCTTTGGTGCGACGTTGACCGCTGGATCTTATTGTCTGTATTATTGTACAGAAAAATAAAAGCATACGCACAATTAGCATTTTAATGATCAGACGAGCATTAGTAAAACAACAGCAACCCCTAAAATAAAGCAGGGGCTCGATAAAGTCATCAAATGTTTCATAAACACACAGGCAGATCAGTCACGGTGTAAAATATAACGTCATAAATTCCAATAATTAAACAGTAAACACTTTTACTTCCCCTTGTTTTGCTTTACTGTATGTTCACGCTGCATGGAGTCACGTGACGCCAAGGACGGCGTGTTAAAATCTGCTTTGATTGAGACACGTTTGAGGAAGCCAGGCGTGAAATTTATGCATGACTGATGAAAAGTTCAGTAGGCCTGTGCCTAACAAAACACTGTTCAATTAAAAGGGAAGTAATGGCATCCCATAATATAAAGGATATCTGTGCATACATAAACTGGCAGAAAAGCATGATGGCTCGTTCACGTCATGCTATGTAATTTAGTTAATGCATTTCCCCTCGCTCTTTAAAACACTCGCACATTCAAATTTGCCGTCATAATCTCTGTGACAGAGGACATTAATTACGTTTGTCGGCCGATCACTGTTTCCTCACAACATTTCCGATTAAAATTTCACACGTTGTAACGATGTGCTTCACCGTTAGAGGCTGTGAAAAACCAGTGAGCTCCAAATCCCTCTTTTCTTGGGAGGTTCAAAGCTGTTAGTAGACACTTTAAAAAAAAAAAAAGAAAAAGAAAAAAAAAGAGTGAGATTTGAACTAAGATGCTAATACGTCTTTGTAACTTCTTCATTAAAATGTTGTGCAAATTAGGCATGAACAAAAGAGTACTTTCCCTTCAGATATGTGTGTTCAAATTTCATATTTGGGAAGTTTAATTAAGCAATAGATTATATTTTGAAAGGAGCGCTTGATTTAATGAATCCCCAGAGAGCGCAGATAAACACTGCAATGGTATCAAAGCATTCATCTCTTTAATGGATGTGAAAATTACGCATGTAAATGGATTTGAGCCTTTATTTCCAGTGCTTTAGGGAATATTTACCGGATAAAGGTGACACTTACATAACCTATATTATACATATGCTATCATTTTTGGAAACAGCATGAATTGTTCTCAGCCATTTTCAAGGACAAACACTTAACACATATTTAAAGCAAAGCTTTTAACAATGGCGTCTGACAAAACAAATGGAGCCGCGGCGGCGTAATGCTTCCATTTTAACCTAATTCCACTTAGAAATAAATGCTATGTTTAACGCCTTTGTAGGAACAAAACAACGGCGCCACATCACAGTTCTTCTGTTTCAGTCGTGAGAGAACCGCCGGTCAATTCTACTTTTTCATTAAGATGTTTGCCTGAGTGTGGCTCTGTATTCTACAATCCAGGAACTGTGCAGAGTCAGTGAACCCTGGTACAATATGTGATGGAGCGCCGCGTGGCCAACATTCACCTCTGCGAGGACGGCCGTTGTTTATCCCTGTAATGTCCACTTTATTGGGAATCTCAGCCGGTCTTCACACCGTACCTGCTGTGCTCAGCAGTGTAGAGAGGCCACAGCCGGGAGAGCGGTGGTCAGCGCCTGTCAATCACAATCACAAGGATCAGTTAGCAGCCGTCCGTCTGAGGAGTCATAGCCAGATGTTGTCTGTCTTCCTTCTCCCCACCAATCTACCACCGAGGGCTTCAGGCCTTTTGTACGACTCGGTCTTGAAGTCTCACATCCTGAACTGAAAACTATTTTCTTTAAGAAATAAGCAGAGTCAAACAACTGCTATTTGATCAGATCACAGGGGCAGATGCGGACGCTGAGTCGCGGTCATTTGGATGTCAGTGTTTTGTGACTTATCTAATGCTATTGGTGGATTCTAGTCATTACCGTCCATCTCGATGGAAGATCTAGAACGTTTTCAAGACTTTGGTGTCAATCCGTTGTGTCATTCAACTTGTCAGCTGTAGACTCACTCACTGACCTACGTTCATGACCAACAAAGATGACAAAGAGTTTAGGTTCTAATCCCAATATTGAGGCTAAAGATTTTAATCTCAGCACCAACTGTGAAACTGCTGCTGAAATTGCATGACCTGACCTGATGACCTCCTGGAACAAAACAAGGGTTAAAAACCGCCCACAGTGACGGACACAACTGCTTCAGGAAGTCAATGTAGCAACATAACAGCTAATGCTACGGCTTGGCATGGGAACCTAGCTAGAGACGACGAAGACAAACAGAGCGTTTTTAGACGTCGGGTTCTTAATTCCTCTTTTTTCAGTATCCAATTAGTACAGTCTGTATGTCTGACTGACCTGTCTGTAGTCCAGGTCTGTCACAAGGAGGTGAAACAGACGACGGTCGGCCGTAGAGTAACGAGCGGTTCCCGTTTGCGTTCCTGCGAGAGAAGCCTGGTGACAGTCAATTTCTCCGATTTCCAAAAATAATAACAATAAGGGGTGATGTAACTACAGCGGCAAACTTTTCAGAAGTTTTAGTTTGAGATGCATTTTCACAGAGACAAATGTGTCGTCAAAATATATATATATATATATATTTGTTTTTCTTGTTTTTTTCTTGTGTCTGGGATTTAATATATTGTTTCAGACCACGGCTTAGAAAATATGTCATGTGTCAACCCCTGGGGAAGCTGTTTGTTTGTGTTTTGGTGTCTGTGAAGGCAACGGCTGACGTCGGTGAAGGGAGCAGTCAGAGGTGACGAGCAGAGAACGCCACAATATACTCCACCTGCAGGAGGACAAATAGGAAACATTGATTATATCGTCTTTACAGACGCCCCAAATCTCTGCGCGGTCGCTGTTTACCCCACAGCCAGTAAACAGCGCGGTGGTGGAGTGTAGAGCTCCACTCTGCATTTCATTTACAGCATGCCCCCTGGTTTACGTACATCCGTGACCTGTTCCCGCCCATAATTTCCCCCATCACATTCAGAGCAGAGCTGCCAACGGTCAGCTTCATTACGTCCAATATCTTAAATCACCTCTCCTGTGTTTCCCGCCAGTTAGGAGCTCGGTCTCCTCTGAATCGCAGTCATTTAAATGTTCCTGTGCTGATTGCGGGTGCAGGTGGTAATACATTAAGGGACTGAGACAGCCAGTGGCACAGTGCTGAAAGACCTTTATCCATTTGTGCTAAGTTTCCCCTCACATTCAGGAGCATGTCGCTCTAATTAGGCCAATGGTTTTGACTGTGGCCATATTCTTATGGGACAGCTCACTTTAAGTTGTACAACCAGGTGATTCTACATCGTATATACTCCAGCAGGCCGGTAGATTATGCCACGGTCTTGGGAATTTCAAGAAGAAATTGTACATTAATGAAAGCGGAGAATGGCCGCTGAGGAGAATCACCGCGGGGTTATTGCTCTTTTTCTTCTCTCCGTCTCCATCTTTTAGGTAAAGCAGTCGTTGGTCCTCGTGAGATGTGCAGATGTCTGGCGTCTTAAATACCGGCTCGTGACGCCTTTTGTTTCTGTGGCAGCTCAAATTAAGGAAAAAAGTAAAAAAAAAAAAACTCTACTTGAAATTTTGTTCAAACAATATGAAAGGTGCTGGGCTGTGCTGCCTGTCAACACCCGGGCGTCTGCTCAATAAAATATTACAAAAAAAAAAAAAGTCTGTGTTTGACCACACTGACTCCTCAGCACATCTCTGTCTCACAGTGATGAGCTGTTCCAGCAGGTAAAAGCTTCAGAAAGCCCTGGGTCCATTTCCATTCTAGCTTCCAGCAGTGTGAGTGCTGTGACAGCCTCTTGGGGCAAAGGGATTATTGAGATCAGGCCTCCCCCAGCTCTACGCCTCTGGCCCAGCCAGCCAAGCCATCCCAGTCAGCTCCTGGAGCCCCCCAGTGCCTCACAGAGCAGCCCACCAGGCACACAGAGAGCAAAGAGGCACCGGGGACCACTTTAATTGTCCATGCTTTGGGCGGCTCTCTGGCAAACCAGCATGAAGAGGGGGCCCCCGGTCCCAAGCCTGTCCACAGCCCCGGCTCAGAGAGTCTGAGGACGATATATATCTATCCGCTTTGAGGGTCCACTGTCCTATAGAAGAAAAACCCCACTTTCAACATCGTTCTTCCAGCGGGGTCGGGCTCTGACCTGCTCTCCATCCTCGTGATTCAAGTGAAACGTGTGGAGGATTTGACTGTATGTTAAACTCAGTGAAACTGAGCTGAGAACATATAGAAATACACATCAATATATTGGACAGTACTATATAGTAGTATATGTAGCATAAGAAGAAGTACTTCCAGACGAAATACACACACTGAGTTTTTAAACTGGATGTAACCAAACCTGGGTTTAGGTGGTGTCAAACCTGGAACCTTCTTGTGGCAGACATGGGTTTCTACCACTGCACCACTGCACCACTGTAGCTGCCTTGTAATATACCTAGACAAAAAGAAGTGTAAAGTACAGTACGTTCTGCACCTTGGTGGTTGAAATCTTATTTAAATATATAGGTTCCTCATTATCACAGGTTCTATATGTTCTACGTTCTGCACCTGTGTAAAGTGGAACACTGTCTTGTTGACTAACGTCTGTCATTAAAATAGCCAGAACCATTAGCATTAACATGTGGGTCGCTCCTTTCTGCTCTGTCACGAGTCAAAGCAGGAAGAACTGGAGGAATGGATAAGGACGGAGACCTGGACAAACATTTGTGAACTTACAATACCAGAGCTGAGGATTGCAGTTCCAGGCACTGCCAGATCAGAGAATACTCCAAAGATGTACGGCTACAGATGGAGAACAAAAAAAATAAAATCTAGAACCAAAAGTAAATAGCAGCCAACCATAATACACTGGAACACATTCCACACAGAGACTGACAAAACATCACAATTATTGTGGTCGTATCAGTTACTAATGAGCTCGTTAGCAGCTTGCATGTTGCATCTGTTACACCCACCTATTTTTTTTTACAGACTGACAAATCCTTTTAGCTGACAGAGTCCAAATTATAAAAGGACACCCATGTGTCTTTTGAAATCATGCTTTTATTAATTAAACTGTTTATCGTCGTCTTCCCCGCGGCGTGTAACAAATGTGACTGGGATCACTGGGACTGCTTTCTCTGCTAATGCATCTCAACTGACAGCTATGCTAATGCATACGAATTCAAAAATAAAGGCTGTGAATACACAGAAGGATCATGTTCAAACCAGTGTTTCTCAAAGAGAGGGTCGGGACCTCAAAGGGGGCGTGGAGTTATATTCAGCGTTGTTTTTTTTCTTGCTAATTATTGTTATTACTCCACAGTACATGTGCCTCATATTATTCTCACATCAATTCTCACAGTTTTAACATTTGACATTACGATTTCAGTAGGGGTCGCCACCTATATTTGTCAGACGCCCAGATTTTTTCTGGACTTTAGGGGGCAGATATTCAAATAAAATTTATAAAATATAAATAATTAAATTAAATTAAAATCACACATTTGAGTCTAACATTGATACATGATGTTTATTTTGGACCAGATTTGGACAGTCCAGCGTGCCAGACTCAGTCCACCAGCCGCCAGTTGTTTATAACTGCTATATAGTGACATCTAGGCTTTTCAGGCCGGACTGTTGGCTTCTTTATTTAACTATATCGTCTTATTTTTTTATATCTTATTATTCTTTGTGACTTACTCCAAGGCCAGTCTTTAAGACTCTTTTTAGGTCATTATTTATTATTAATAAATATTGTATTTAGCACAACAGCACAACACGTGACTGCTGACGTTTTTCATTACAAAAAAAAATCTATCAGTTAAGTTTATTTCCTTGTCTTCTACGAGAAAAAAAAAACACTAAATGCTACGACCAGACGTGTTATTTTGAGTCAAAAGAAAAAAAAAAGTTCGGAGCTGAGTAAATAGGTAGTTAGGTATGCTGGTCATGCCAGACACAGCTATGCAAAAGAAAACCAGACAATAGCCCCTAACTGGACTGTGACAGGGTAATTACTGTGCACACATAATAAAATTCTCTTTACATAGGTCACTCGCAAAGTGTAATTAAAAAAGCGTTATAGATTATTTTTATTGAAGCAATTAAACCAAAAAGCAAAAAGTAATTAAGTGTGGAGGTAATAATAGTGTTGGTCAACAGCATTTGTTGTGAGGGAGGGATTTGTCAGCCCCACCTCTCCACTGCACCACCGACATCCTTTAATTTACACTCCAGCGTTTTATTACGTGAGACTGTTTTTTACTGTGTAACAATTATGTTTATAATGCCAAAAACGGTGCTGGATTTAATGAAATCATTACCGTGAGTGATAATTGTGAGTAAATGCTAAATTTGAATTATCGTCTTCCTCTACGCCGTGAATTAATGAATCGTTACTATTCATACTACTGGTCTATAATTATGTTAAATTGGGCGTCTTATCAGCAGTCAAAGACTCGGGATTATCGGCGTCTTGACTGTGTGGACTGTGCCAAATTCCTTGTGGATATACGCCTGTCCCCGGCACAAAGAGAAAAGAGGAGATAATATTGGAAGGTTAAACTCCACAATTTCCTCTTAAAAGATGTAAGAAGAGCAATTGCTCAAATGCGCTCCCGCTTTATGAGGGAAATCAGACTGACGGGTCTGTGGGGCATTAACATCCACTTGACTCCGAGTGCAGCCGGTTTTACAAGCTAACACATACATGTAGCTGACACATCAGCCGGGCTGATCTCTGCAATTGTGTCAGGTAACTGAATTCAGATGATATGTAAATGTGAAGGGGAAATATGTTGCCCTAGTTAGCATACGGGCCACTTGCATTTCATAAACTTATTATAATTCAGGCCGCACATTTCTGGAAATCACAGCAATAATCTAATTGTCAGGTGGTGGTGGTGGGGGTTGGTGGAGAGGGGGCGCCATTTTTATTCAGCAAGGTTGAAGATCGTGCGGTTTTATGAAGAGGGGAAATCCAAATTTCTGCCAATCCGATGAATGAGTCTTTTAACTTCACTCTGAACGTGAACATGAATGAAACCGAAAATAAACACCAACAGTTTGGTTTCTGTGTTAACCCGCCAGAACACAAAACACAGAACATAGAACCCAGAACACAGTGAGTCAGACGTTGTGATGATTTTACATGTCAGTCTGTTGCCTCACTACTTTGAATTGGACGTTTTTCCCTTTTGTTTCATCTTCTGTCATTGGAAATGTGAACAGCAGAGGGCAGCTTGAATACATAAATACCAACGAGCAGGCGCATCTTTCACTCATCAAAGGTATGCGCTGGTTTTACATGCCTGACTTCTCCACACACTGTTCGGCTCCTGTCTGACAG